TGCTTTGGGTTGGAAGGAGCTCCAAGCCCATCCCAAAGGTGCCCAAATCCCAAATCCCTCCGGAGTTTCCCAGCCCTTCCCAGCTCCGTTCCCTTCCCTGGCCACGCTCCGGCTCCTCCTTATCCCAAAGATCCAGAACTTTCCCCATGGAATGTGCAAAACTTTCTCCCGGTGCTTCTTTGCCTCTCTGGATCCCGGCCATTCCTGAATTCCCTCCTTCATTCCAGCCCCTTTTTCCATGATTTCCTGCCAGAACAATCTGGCCACGGAATTCCAGCTTTTTCTTCTCCCTTTTGTATCCATGGAGTGCCCAGGCCGGATCCCGTGGCATTCCTTACATTTTACAATTCCCACTCTCCTCTGGGAATCCCATCTTGCCCATCCCAAGGGAATGAGGGATTCACTTGATCCTGGAATTCTTGGGATTCCCAGCAGGATTTGTGGGATTTGGAGCAGCGACCTCAAGGAAAGTCGGGAGCATCCAGAGGCTTCTCCTGATTGGAATGCAGCCCTTAGCACAGGATGAGGATTTTTTGGTAGCACTGGATTTGGGAATCCCCGAATCCCAAAGAATCCCACATCCCATTCCCGAGACATTTTGTCCACTTTGCCTCCTAATCCTGGAATTTCCCATCCAATTCCCATTCCCGCTGCTCAGGACATCCTTGGGAATATCCAGCAGGAAAATCCCGCCCTCCATTCCCATTCCAACGGAGCTGATCCCAACCCCAAGGCGCTGTCCCCAGCTGGGACCCCACTGGGAGATGTTCCCATCACTGGGAGACGTTCCCGTGGGCATTCCCTGGATCTCCCCTGTCGGAGAGGATGAAAATGGAAAACCTTTTCAATATGATTGCCTGGCAAAAGATTTTGAGAACATGGAAACTATGAGGGAGATCGAAATGAAAACCATCTTTGAGACACCAAACCTTAATTAGTGAACAACTGGAAACCAGCAGCATGGCCAGCTGAAAATAATCCCCTCTGGATTGAACAATCCCCTCTGGATTGAACAATCCCCTCTGGATTGAACAATTCCCTCTGGATTGAACAATCCCCTCTGGATTGAGCAATCCCCTCTGGATTGAACAATTCCCTCTGGATTGAACAATCCCCTCTGGATTGAGCAATCCCCTCTGGATTGAACAATTCCCTCTGGATTGAGCAATCCCCTCTGGATTGAACAATTCCCTCTGGATTGAGCAATTCCCTCTGGATTGAGCAATCCCCTCTGGATTGAACAATTCCCTCTGGATTGAGCAGTTCCCTCTGCCTGCAGGCAGGGCCAAGGGTCAGAGAAGACCCTCCCAGCTTGGCAGAGGGGGTCCAAAGAGTTGTTTTTGGGGTTTAAAGTGTCGCACAGTCTGGTAATGCAGTGATTCTTACAGGCTGTGTGTAAATGTTACGGGATTTGTGTCTCGTATGAGATCGGTGAGTGAAAATCGGAATATTGATCACAGGAGATTGATTGATTGTAACGGGAACCTCGCCCTCTCACCTCTCTTACTTTACTCTCCTCTCTCACCTCTCTTACGCTCCCACCTCTCCCGCCCTTACCCCTCTCCCCCCCTGCCCTCTCTCCTCTCCTTTTCCTCTTGCCCCGCTGCTCTCACAGCCCGCTCCGAGCTGGGGCTGCCAGCTCCAGGCAGGGCCCTGTCACCCACGCCCCATGCAATAAACCAAAACTTCCAAAACTTGCCTTTAGAGCTCTCTTCCCCCAGTCCCGACATTCCGGACCAGCAGCTCCCACATTCCCGCATTCCCGTTCCGTTCCAGAGTGCCCGCTGACGGCGGCGGCGCAGCTGGAGCTCAGCACAGACATGATCAAAGCGCTCCGCAACGGCGGCGCCCACCTGGATTTCCGGACCCGCGAGGGAATGACGGCGCTGCACAAAGCCGTGAGGTGTCGGAATCACGCGGCCCTGCTGGTCAGTGCCGGGATTTTCCTTTCCTTTCCTTTCCTTTCCTTTCCTTTCCTTTCCTTTCCTTTCCTTTCCTTTCCTTTCCTTTCCTTTCCTTTCCTTTCC